GACAATTCACACTAACGGTGAAGGGTCTTATCGCTCGCCTAACTTCGGCTCGCTTAAGCTTTTGCTGTGCCTTTAGCCTTCCCTTTTCGTCTAGAACAGCCTAAAGTTACTTTATTCAACCGCTATTACCTTTTGTTAGGGGTATAAGGGCTTTTCTAAAAATTTTTTGTAAAACGTGAAGGGTGTACCCTTCCAAATTGAGGAATTTGCTAAAAACAATCAAAAGTTTTCACGCTTACTTTTCCGAAAAACTTTTTCCCTATCAGTAAGCTCAGCTAATTTCTGATCTATTGGTACCAAGATCAACTCGATATGCCCAGTAGTTCCAAAGTTATTAACCAAAACGTCTTTTTTCTAAAGTCAAGAAATTTCTCTCTTATAGGTTCCGCCTAACTTTTCCCGCAAATCTGGTCCTTTCGACCTAAAAATTGCTGATCCGAGCTCAGAAGGCCTATACTCTTCTAGTTCAATGCAAAAGACCCGATCTAAAACGCTTTAGTTGAAAAAATTTGCAAAAAACTATGCTACCTGTACCCCTCCGGATTGATGAATCCACCAAATCAAACACGTTAAGTTCGATTTCTCTGCAACCGGGAAGGCGTTCGGGTAACGGGATTGAAAACTTGTAGATTCAATAGTGGACGTTGTCCGAACAACTATTTCTACTGTTCTAACTCAAAAATTTCAAAAAATTTTCTGAATTTTTAGTGTTTCGGTTTCTCAAAAATCACGAAAATTCGGTTTTTTTTTTGTTCCAAAATAGTTCTAACCACTTCCGAACTAAACTTAACCGGTTCTATCTATTATGGTAGTGCAATTACGATGTAACACACTACTTTAGCGCTTTTTTCCGTTTCAAAAATTATCGATATCTCAAAAATCGCGACTTGTGGGGGGATCAAAATATCGCTATTTTGACCCTAAAAACCGTTCTGTTTTCGTTGTTTTTCACTGACCTATAACACTATTGATATAGGCTCTATAAGTAAAAATAATAGTAATACTATGCCCCTCCGGGTTTGTTTAATAATCCGAATTAAGGTGCTTAACTCGGATATTCGCAGTTCGGTGAAGGGTCACTACAGTGCAGCACTGTCGAGCCCCCCATAGATTACTATCTTAATTTTTGTACCAAAAGGGATACAAAACTTGTTAACGATACCCAACAGTCGATTGTTATTGTCGTTGAGCCTCTTCTTGTTGCTCCTTGTACTGTTTGCCGGATCAGTCTTCTCCCAAGACCCTTCCGAATTGAGCGCAAATCAGCTGACCCTTCCGGATTGAGCGCAATTTATCATTAACGTGCTTAAATGCTCAAATAACCCTACAGTACAAGCCTCACAAACGGGCTACAAAACTGATCGTAACGATCTTGACTGATATAAATGCCTGTAACAACAATATATCTATCAACAACAAACGGGGGGGTCGGATCACATCTTGTCTGGGGGGATGATTTCTACTGATTTTTTACTTTTTTACTGCTTTTGGTTTTTTCGGTTATTTTTTATGTTTTTTGTTTTTCTTGGGTACTATATTACTTTTTGTTTGGTTTTATATATATCTTTAAGTGTTTTTGGTCACGAACCTCTCAGGGAACGAGGGAATGGCCGATCCCCCCACCCTTCCTGGTTCGTGAATTTTCGGTCTTAACTAAGTTAAAAAGCTATTCACGGTAATCCCGAGGGCTTCCGCGCTCCGAACCACCCCTCCGCCCCGGCGGTTTAGGCCTAATAAGGGCGTTAATGTGAGCATCCGCTCGGCGCGGAGTGCTCGTTAACGGTTCTGCCGGTCATGATGTTAAAAAGAATAACACCCAGGAGCGCCATAAAAACATCTATGTAACATTCGCCCGGAAGATACATATCGACGGAAGACAAAACTAAGTCTTAAGACGACTGGCTAACGTCTAAACAGAGCTTTGCATGCTTTTCACCGTCTCTACCAAGCCAGTACTTTTCGGTGGTCTTTCTAACATCGGGTCGACAAAAACGTTACTGCTTTCGGCTTCGGTCAAAACACTCAAATTAACTAGATTACATGCAGAAACAGTGAGCTCATGGCTGGGTCTCAGTATCCCCAGACCACGAGGTCACTCCTAAAATCAGGGCTACTACTTATTTTATTTCTTTTGTTTTTGTTCAGTAGATAAAAATCATCATCTCCATCGAAGATGGATCAGCCCTTTCCCCCAACTCCTAGCTTCTCATCCTTATCAAAATGAATCTAGATGTTAATTAAATTCAAGTCAGGACATGACAGGAAGCTAAAAATTTATATAACAGGATAAAAGTTTCAGTTCCTTTACCCCTCCGGATTGACAAATCTGCTGAATCAAACTTGTTAATCCTGATTTCTTCTTAATCCGGAAGGCCGTCTTTCACCCTTCACCGTTGTTCGCAACGGCCTTGCACTTGCAACTTTTGTAGCGGCACAATAGTTGCAACTCGGAGTGTTCTCTGTTACTCTGTAACTCGTTGTCGTTTTCCAATCTCGATTTCGTAGTTGTTGTTAGCGCAGCTAATGTTGTTCTGTTTTTCTTTTTTGTTTTAGCCAAAATGGCCGTTTCTGACGTTTCTCAGAAATATGACGTCATAATTCGAATTTTTGAAATTTTAAAATACCAGAATATTCCAGTCCTCACCGTTTGGCCAATCGTTCCAATAACGTTCTTAATTCTTAATAATCACCAATCCGGAAGGCTCGCTGCTAAAAATTCGAATTCTGCAGAGATTGCATTTTTCACATTCTGGTCGAATGTCACAAACTCGTATCGAGTCTAATTCTAAGGACATCAACATGTGTCATTGTGTTGAAAAACTTGAATTAATCAAATATAAAAACAAAATAAAGCGTTAACGCTATCGTCTAAAAATTATAAATAGAATATCTCATCAAGTTTGTCATAGACTCTAATCGTGCCCAAAACGCAGGCGGCATTGGCTGATTGTATAGCCATTGAAAGCCGCTGTCTAAGGAATCCTGAGGCTCGGTCGTCGTTTGTAAGGGATTTAATGAGCCTTCCGAGCTTTTTGATAAAGGAGGACGTGTTCTTACTGCACTGTCCTTGTGTTGTGAAAGCAACAGCTTGGAAAATATGTCCTCGCCTTGTGAGTTCTTCATACTTCGCGTTCTTTAAGGTTTCTGCAGACTCAGCTGTCCCAGAGGGATCTCCCCTAGAGGGTGCAAGGGCATCAACAATAGTTGCATCCCAGACAAGCGTTTGTCCTCTCTCCCACGGAACTAAAGTAGCACCGTCTGGTCTCTTGCCGTCAGACCGACACATTCCAGGGGGTTCCAGAACGGAAGGGTAACCCGCTAGGGCCAATGTTCGTTTGATAATGTTGTTGACCATTGTGTGTCTGGCGTGCCGGCCAGCACTTTTCCGGCATGAGAGACAATGAAGGTCTGAATTGTCTACAGTCGAGCCACAAACACAACGGTGTGTGGCACAGACTGGACTGCCTAAACGAGTGGCGACGGCAATTCTCAATTGACTGTCTGTTAACTTCAGCCCTAGAGCTTGCGATGGAAGCGCGTTAATCCATGCTGCTGCTTCCTTGCCTTGAAAGGCCATTAGTCTCTTTCGGTTGTTGTTGTCTACCAAAGTGAGAGTGGTAGCTAGCATGTGTTTAAAGGCGGGACCTGTTCAATTGCTTTGAACGTGTGGATGGACGGGCCGTTCGACACAGTTACTCTGTTGTTGCCACTTCTCAAAAGCCTGTCCGATCGTGACTGGAACATTCACCAATCCGTCTGGTAGGATAGAGGCAATAATAGTCCGGCAACTCTCCGCTGAAGCTAAATACGCAGATGGTGCAGTGATAAATGCCGAACTAATACCCAAGCCTCCCAGAGTGGATGGCCAATGTAACTGAGAGGCAGATATATAATCTAGAGTGATGTTGCAGATTTCTTCCACTGATTTCTGGAGGGTGTTGTCGTAATTTTGAAGGAGCTGCTCGTATAGAAAACAAGGGGCTGTACGAAGGAAATATAGGAGTTTGGGTAGCGCAAACGAGTTCTTTATCATAAAAAGGGCATGGTGGGCTTCCAATTCTCCGAGTCTAGAACGCATTCTCTCCAGGGACTCTGTTTTCTGTCGTATACAGTCCTCTATAGCTAATTGTCCAATCGGGGCTCCAAGGATAACGAGGTCTTCGATGTTCGTAACTTCGGTAAAGGGACTGATAGTCCGGAAACGGTCAAGGATTTCTTGTTGACGAGTTATGGATGGCTGTCCAAGAAAGGTTATTTCGCATTTTTTCGAGTGTATCTCTAAACCAAGCTTCTTCGATTCCTCGATGATCCTGCTAAAATTCCACAGGACACGCTGCCAATTGCCTGCGATGTTTCCGTCATCCAGGAACCAGATGTTGAGTTCGGTATCCACGTTTCCCACCATATCATTGATCGTATCAGAGAAAACTGGTGGTCCTTCCGGGTCTCCTTGTTGTGCACCTTCATCGGAACTGATGGTGAAGTTGCCGTAGAATTTGCCGTAGAAAATAAATTTTTTTTCTAGAAGTTTACAAGGATTTTGACTGGAATACGTGATGAAGGGGTTACTATGATTCTTTTGACCTTATGAGTACCCTAAAAAAAGTTTAAAAAAATTTGTAGAACTCAAGCTTAAAATCTCTCTCTCTCTCTCTTCACTCTTTAAAAAAAATAAAATTAAAAGAGTAAAGATTTAAAAAATTTGATTCCCAAGCATCTACGCTCTCTTTCCTTACATTTTCCTTTTTACTTCCAGGAAAAGAGCCCTGTTGTCAAGTGTTGAAGTAGATTCCGTTCAAATAATTTAAACCATTTGAGGTGTTTTAGTTAAACAGCGTGTTTTCTCTGGGCGAAAAAATGAAGTGGAGTGTCCTTACTTCTAACATAATGATTTTTGACCTTCTGATTTAAAAGCTTCTTGTAGCTGCTTAAAAGATCTATAGTTTTCCATGTGTACGCTTGCGATTAGCAACCGTTACATATCATGATCTTGACCCGTAGTTATATCTTTTTTTTGTTTTAGATTCTAAAAATGGCAGCCAAATTAAAAGATATCTTTGTTGTCGGAGCTAAAAGAACAGCTTTTGGAAAGTATGGTGGCACTTTGTGTGATTGGTCGCCTACTAAAATGGCTGTCCAAAGCAGTATTGCGGCCCTAAAGAGTTCAAATGTGAAGCCTGAAGATGTCAATGGAGTAGTTGTAGGGAACGTCATTCACAGCTCTCCAGATGGAATCTATTGTGCGCGACATGTTGGTCTGAAATCAGGAGTTCCAGTGGATCGTGAGATGTATGCAGTTAATCGTCTCTGTGGTTCTGGTTTTCAGTCAGTTGTCAATGCATGTCAAAGTATTTATATAGGAGAATCTCACATAGTCATGGCAGCAGGAACAGAAAGCATGAGTATGGCGCCTTACTCAATTTGGGGAACAAGATTTGGTACTCCTCTTGGCAAAAATCCCAATGTTCAGGATGCTTTGTGGAGCGGCTTAACTGACACATATTGCAAATTGCCGATGGCTCTGACTGCTGAAAATCTAGCTGAAAAGTATAAGATTTCACGCGAAGATTGTGATCTCTTCGCTCTGCACTCTCAGCAGAGATGGGCTGCCGCGTTTGAACAAAACAAGTTCGTCGATGAAATCTGCGATGTTGAATTCAAAACCAAGAAAGGAACAGCTATTTTTAACACCGATGAGTATCCTCGGAAAGATGCGAATATAGAAATGCTGAAAAAGTTGAAACCGGTTTTCAAAGCAGAGGGAACTGTTACAGCGGGTACAGCATCCGGAGTTAATGATGGCGCGGGAACAATCATTGTAGCCAGCGGCGAGGCATGCAAGAAGTATAATCTGGAACCTCTGGCTAGGATTGTCGGATACGGAGCTGCAGGCTGTGATCCTTCAATCATGGGAATTGGGCCAGTGGCTGCTATTAAGAGGGCCTTGGGTGCCACTGGGCTGTCATTGGATGATTTAGATTTGGTAGAAGTCAACGAAGCCTTCGCGGCTCAGTATTTAGCTGTGGAGAAAGAATTGGGCTTGAACAGAGATAAAACGAACTCATGTGGAGGGGCGATTGCTATTGGTCACCCCCTGGCGGCATCTGGAAGTAGAATTGTAGCTCATCTCGCCTACAGAATCAGAAATGAACCTGATGTAAAGCAAGTTGTGGGATCTGCTTGTATCGGTGGGGGTCAAGGGATAGCTGTCATTTTGAGCAAACCATAACTGAAGTTCACTAACTGTTGTATTAATTCAGTGTATATTGTAAAGTTGTATTTATTTGAGCTCAACTTAGCATTTGAACTTGATTTTTTTTTTACCACTGGAGGAAAGTATCGTTACGCTGTTTTGAGTGTTCATGATTGAGTAAAATTGTTTTTTTTTGTGCTATGAGTCTGAAAAAATTCAATTTTTCTTCATGTTTTAGGTGTGATGGGTTTTTCAAACAGAAAGAACAAAAAAACTAGCGTAGATAGGAAAACAACATTAGAAAAATTCGAGCGTTTGTATGATCTGCTTGCATGCTTGAAATGTGGCGTGGTCAATGCATACAATTACCGTAATGGTATTTGTGAACACGTTCTCTGTTCAAAATGTCTAAGTAACATCATATCAAAGAAACGAATTGGTTGTGGCGCAGTAGTTGAAGGATCTGTAGCGACGCCCTGTGAAAAACTCTTCGTCCAGGGAAAACTTGTTCCTGAAACTGACTTCAACGAAAAGTTCCAGTCCATGATCGAATTAATGGACCAATATAGCGTTTCATTCGACGACCTAAAGCGCCCTAAACCATTGAGAGGATCTCCTGTACCAGCAAAGTTTAGATTCGAAGCGGGAAGCAATAGCGATTCTCATCATACATCGTCAGATAATGGTGATGTTATGTTAATAACACCTTCGAAATTAACGAACATTGAAGCTGACAGCACTCCTGATTCTATTAATTCCCGACATCCTGATCCGTTTTTGCCGTCTTTTATCAGTTCTGAAGAAGAAAATAACAAGAAACCGCCAAAAAGTATATTACGGAGTTCCCCGCGAGTTAAATCAAGAACTACAACTGGTGCAGAGAAAAACGAAACATTGAAGTCAAAAACGAACGATCGTATTTTCTTCGGAGACCTTGTTTTTGAGAAAAAATCTCAAAAATCTACTGGCAGAGAAGTAGAATTTAAAAATGGGCTTTCAAATCCTTAATTAATTGATAATACTTAGTGAAAACCAGTAGCAGATTTGAGGGGGAGGGGGGATGGCTCTCCCCTCAGAGATTCGACCCAAAGCGACCCCTCTGGCGCCAATACATACTGATTTTGCGGGGAGTGTGAGCAAAAAAAAACGCAATTATTCGGCCAAAATTTTCCAAGAAGTGCCTGAGACGCCTTTTATGGCCCGTTTTTTAACTTTTTTTTTGGAAGTTTTTTTCGTAATTATTTTAAAAATCCGCCCCATACCTCGAAAATCTGCGCCTGGTAAAAACTATTTAGTTAAAAGACAGTTAATCTGTGCAATTTAATCGTGCAAAACATGCCTAATTCGTGTTTAAAAATGTTTAAAAATTGATAACGTTCAATTTCATTTGATACTATGTTGTCATTTATAAATTGGGTTATATTTTTGTTACTTTCATAGACAGTCACAAAATATATTTTTGGCTATAATCAGCATTTATTTTGCAGCCTTATATCATACAGGGAAACGGAATTTTGCGCAGTTTTTTTCTTTCGCTTGTCCTAGAGCAAGTATCAGAACGCTAAGAGAAAAAGCTCAATAATTGCACATCGTGATGAGAATCGGAGGAAAATTTTAACAAATTCATTACGGACTAGATCTTGTTACCTATCCCCCTATTGCAATAGGGGGTAAGGGGGATAGTTAACAAGATTCCACGGACTTTTTCTTCTGGTAAACAACTTGTTTAACGAAATCACTGAAGAATTTGCGATGACAAGCTCAATTTTCTGTGAAAATTCAAATTTAACTTCTGGTTGTTATTACTGGTAACAACACATTATCTTGATGGAGTAATATTGATGATATTGAAGTTGTGTTTGAGCTATTTCTAGGAAAAACATAATTGTGGACATTTTGTTTGCTTATTTTCTGTCGGTCTTTTTGTACGGCATTGGTTTTACCGATTTCAACTTTTTTTAATATAATTCCGTCATCGTGATTTATCCTGTAATTTCTAAATTTAACATTTCGATTCTGAGTAATTTCAAGTTTTTTTTACTTGATAAGTATGTCAGCCTGATATTGCGGTTTTGCGGTGTTTGGTGGGCGACAATTGAATTTGATGCTTCTAGAATAGAATTTTATGATTCAAAGAGGAGTGCGTAAAATTGTTCGTTGAAAACTTTGTAGCTCATTGTTTTCTTGAGAACAATCTTCTTTTTAGTTACACGCGCCTCTACCCAAGGCTTGTCGGCGTAGTTTTAAATCAGAGAAGTTTGCAAGATTGCTAACATAACACTGGCAATTGCAATATATGCCAGGTTTTTTTTCCTAATTGATCTTCATTCGAGACAAACTTAAAGAAATTCTGGCTATGTTTGTCATGCCAAGTTTTTCATGTATCAGAAGATGTGCTGAGCTCCGCTTTGACTATGTGTATCTATTTTGATTCCCTGCTAAGTTCATTGCTGGTTTGGCTTTTAAAACAACACTGAAAATTTCACAATATTTACTTTTAATTAATTTCGATTTCTATTTTCTATATTTTCTATTTTTTTTTACAAGTTTTATATTTTTTTTTCAGACTGATTTGATCTTTTAAATTTTTGAACTTTGAAACGACAACTAAAATGTCTTCTGCCGACGTCGAAAAGCCAACCCAAGGACTGAAAGAGGAACAGTTTGAGAAAAAAGAAGCTGACAGCGAGCAAGCGATGGATCAAAATGAAATGAGCGACTTGAAATCTAGCGAAGTCTCACAAAGTGCAACAGGGGCGGAGAATAAAGAGGAATCGAACTCTAAGAAAAAGGATGATGCAGTTATCGGCGTGATTAAAAAGGATCCAACCGATAAAAGTGGGAATGATAAATCGAAACGAAAGAATCTGAAGTGCTCCAAGTGTGATTTGGTGTCGAATATTGTGTTGTTGTTTTACAATGTGAACTGTCAGCATGTGTTGTGCACCAAGTGTCTGCAGTTATTGGGCCATGTGACCCAGCTGAAGTGTGACACAGTGTTGAGCAATGGTGCTAAGTGTGACGCATTGTGGACTAGGAAAAGCACCAACATATTGACCTATGTTGACCCCTTGTTCATTAATGCTGTGACGGTTGAACTGAAAGGTAATGATGCTGGTCATTAAATCGAACTTGTTTCTTAAAAATTGAACGCAAAAAAAAAACGAATCTTATTAGTGACGTATTTGTAATTGTCCATATAAATGCTAGTGAAATGCAACAAAGATAATAAAGGAATTATACAAAAAGAAATGATAATGTTTATAATTGAAAATTTGAAATTGTGAAAAATGTGTCAACATAGGTTAAAGATTTTACAAATTATTTAAATTTAAAAATGGGTACCAGCAAATCATACCATCATCCCATGCAATTGTCAAATGTAAGCTCAGTTGAGCAAGCGTTTGCTATTCGCTTGTTTACGATTTTTAAAACGGTTTTTCCGATTGCCGGTAATCATTTTTAATAGCTTCATAGCGAATGAATATATATTAAAGGAATCATATTCTAAATGGTGGCTTCTGTTAGGTAATGCGAGCTTGAATGTGGATAAGTCGGATACTAACGTGGAAGTATGTCTGGACAATGCGGCTCTCAAGTTCCTGAGGAGTATCAAACCATGTGTGCCCGGACTGCCTACTCTGGAAAACAATCCACTGGATGCCCCCCAGGGAGAAGCGAAAGCCACTGATGATGTAAGAACTGTTAGGAGAGATACAAATATAGCATCTCTTGTAGGTTTGATGAAACAAAGTTTTCCGAATGTTCTCACCGCAACAAATCTTTCATTGGACTCTGCAACTACTGCGTAGCTGAAATAGCCAAACTTGACGTGTTTGAGAGAATTAATTTTTAAGATGCAGTTTTTTTTTATCGCATAGCTGGTTTTTGGCACATTTTTTTTTTACAAATGAATTCATATTTTGTATTTTATTTGTGTAGTCTGAAGTCACACCCCTCGCTTCGCCCCCTCGGAAGCGAGCCAAGAAATCTGACGGATCTCAGAAAGAGGAAACAACTCCGGGCCCCAGGAAGACAACTGCGAGGACAGCGGCCAAAGAAGCTTCTAAAAGCGAACCGAAAACCCCTAAGCAAGAATCCAATACAGCTGTTTCTGCGAATGTGGTGTGTTCTATAAGTAAATCGTTGAAAGGCCGTTAATTTAAAGTATTTTTAACAAATGTTTGAAAGAAATTGATTTTATTTCATAATTTCAAATGATCAATAGTTAGAATTAGTGTTTATTCTGCTTAATAACCTTACTTTGTTGGTTAGGCTAAGAGTACCGATAATTCGAGTGAAAGTAAAGACCAAGAGGAAGAAGCTAAATCTGTACCGTCAACAGTCGTAGCATCAGGAGTGGATCAACAGAACCCTCTTTTGGGTCGTACTCTGAGCAGTGTGGAGAACAAGATTGTGCCGAAGGTGAAGTTGAATGCGGCCAATGACCCTGCCACATACAAGAAGGTCGGTATTTTAATTGTAATAAATCGTAAAAATGAAATTGGGTCAAAGAAAAAGCAGGAGAAATGATGAGGAAAAACGATTTGAAAGGATCTTCATCAATGATTTATGCATTGATTCGGAAGCGTTTTTTCGGAAGATTTATGAATAACAGAAGAAAATCAGTAGCAGCAATACTTGTTTTTTCATTGTTGTGTTTTAAGTAGATGAACTGAAAAAGTAAAATGATATAGGCCAATAAAGTGGCATCATGTTGCGCAGTACTTTTGGAAAAAGATTCGTATAAAGACAAACGATCAAGATAACTATATTACTTAATTTTTTGTTGTTAGGTGATGAAGAAGAACTTCAAAGGTGAGACTGCTCTGCATGCTGCGTGTCAGAGAGGTCAAGTGGAGAAGGCGAGGGAGTGGCTGGAGATGGGCTCAGACCCCAACACCTCAGACAACGCCAATCTCAGACCCATTCACGAACACGGCGTCATCATGGTCAGTAGTTCTAGGGAACACTTCAAAATAGCGTAGTTTTTTGTGAATGCAAAGGAAAAAACGATGTTTTAAACAACGTAAAGAAACAATGGTTAAACTCGATTGGTGAAAAATGTTACGCTTTAGTTGCTGAACAAATGAAAGGTTGATTGAAATGCATTTGAACGTCAGCAACGTTTTGTTAAACTATTTTTTTGAGTGAATGATCTGTGTATGGATTTGGAGCAATAGGGTACAGTAATAGGCCCTACAAAAGCCACATGTTCGTCAAAAATTATAACTGATTGACAGCCAAGTATAGAGTGATGTTTACACTTGCGAAGCTAGAGTATTAATACTAACCTTTTTTTCTTCCAACCTAAGTGGCAAATATTGGTGAGACACCCCTTTAATGATTGGGGTACCTTCACAGCTTTTTGATAACATGTGCTTTGACATTCGAATAGTAATAAATTCACATAATTGATGCGTTTTTAATTCATCAAATGAACCGAATAAAGCTATTAAGCTATACAAATGAACCGAAAAAAGCTATATAAATTTTCCAACTGAATATATCTCGCAAATTTTTGAAATGCATAATTTATACTTAATATGGCTTTATACTTTGCGATTTGTTGCATGCAAAGTTAGTGTTGATGCCTTCAGTTTGTTTAATTTCAAATTATTATTGGCGAAATTGAGTCTGTTTGTAATTGATGCTGAATCACATTGACAATTTGTTTCACATATATAGCTGCTTTATTCGTGACTACTGTCATTCGAATGTTAAGCTTGAGAGGCTGAGGGGATAGTGCGTGAGACTCAATATATCTTGATTGCTGTAGGTCGCAGATTCGACTTTTTTTGAGACTTTCGACTTGAATTTTTCGCAGAAATTTCTAGAATTTTTTGAAGTTTTTGATTCACAAAATAGCGCTAAAAAACTCCAAAAATTACTTTACTCGAGTAAAACTAAGCTTTCACGGCTTTATTTAAACTCAAATAAGCTATTGTAAGCATACACGCTCACCTTATAAGCTCGAAATCAGAGCAAAAATCAAAAATTTCAAAGCGGTTTTTTCTCGACAGATAAATATCACTCAACCCATTTCAAGGATTATTTCTGGTATTTCTGCGTGCAAAAGAAAAAAAGAAAAAACTGAAACATAACCCGATACAAAGTTCCTCCACATTTTTAAATGGTCGGAACAACGAGGATGGATAGCCAGTCGCTGTGTAAGGAGCACAGAGTTTTCCGACCATACTCATAAAAATTTTTAAAATTGTTTTGTCTTCAAATTTAGTGTCGTTTTTAGTACGTGGTGTGATTAGAGAATTATACAAACGCGTAGAAAGTTAGTAACTTCGGCATAGTTGATAACATTTGTCTTCAAAAAAATGCATGACAAATGAAAAAAAGAAAAAGACAAAAATTTGCCAATTATAAAATTTTTATTATAAAACCGTGATTATTAAGGAAGTGCTAATTTAAACTTGGAAAGCCCTTTTTTAAATAGAAAATCAAGTTTTCTTAGCTTGAAACTGAATTTTCATATAACGATTATAAGTCGATCGCTTTAGCTCGAAGTTGATTTAAAACTCAAAAATGTTAACCAATTTTTCTCAACACTGGAACAACTTTTTGAAATTTATTTCGAATCATATGTGATAGGGCATCAACATAATATATCACTCGAATGGTTCGATTAACTATTTGTGGCAAACAAATTTGTTGGAAAAACCAAAAAAAGTCTGCTTGCTCACTTTTTCAGCTAGAAATTAGCTCAAAAATTAAAAAACCCCAAAAATTACTTTACTCGAGTAAAACTAAGCTTTCACGGCTTTATTTAAACTCAAATAAGCTATTGTAAGCATGCACGCTCACTTTATAAGCTCGAAATCAGAGCAAAAATCAAAAATTTCATAGCGGTTTTTTCTCGACAGATAAATATCACTCAACCCATTTCAAGGATTATTTCTGGTACGTGATTTTGCGTGCAAAAGAAAAAAGAAAAAACTGAAACATAACCCGATACAAAGTTCCTCCACATTTTTAAATGGTCGGAACAACGAGGATGGATAGCCAGTCGCTGTGTAAGGATCACAGAGTTTTCCGACCACACATAAAAATTTTTAAAATTGTTTTGTCTTCAAATTTAGTGTCGTTTTTAGTACGTGGTGTGATTAGAGAATTATTCAAACGCGTAGAAAGTTAGTAACTTCGGCATAATTGATAACATTTGTCTTCAAAAAAATGCATGACAAATGAAACAAAGAAAAAGACAAAAATTTGCCAATTATTAGATTTTTATTATAAAACCGTGATTATTAAGGAAGTGCTAATTTAAACTTGGAAAGCCCTTTTTTTAAATAGAAAATCAAGTTTTCTTAGCTTGAAACTGAATTTTCATATAACGATTATAACTCGATCGCTTTAGCTCGAAGTTGATTTAAAACTCAAAAATGTTAACCATTTTTTCTCAACACTGGAACAACTTTTTGAAATTTATTTCGAATCATATGTGATAGGGCATCAACATAATATATCACTCGACTGGTTCGATTAAATATTTGTGGCAAACAAATAACTCGATCGCTTTAGCTCGAAGTTGATTTAAAACTCAAAAATGTTAACCATTTTTTCTCAACACTGGAACAACTTTTTGAAATTTATTTCGAATCATATGTGATAGGGCATCAACATAATATATCACTCGACTGGTTCGATTAAATATTTGTGGCAAACAAATTTGTTGGAAAAACCAAAAAAAGCCTGCTTGCTCACTTTTTTAGCTAGAAATTAGCTCAAAAATTAAAAAACTCCAAAAATTATTTTACTCGAGTAAAACTAAGCTTTCACGGCTTTATTTTAACTCAAATAAGCCATTGTAAGCATGCACGCTCACTTTATAAGCTCGAAATGAGAGCAAAAATCAAAAAATTCATAGCGGTTTTTTCTCGACAGATAAATATCACTCAACCCATTTCAAGGATTATTTCTGGTACGTGATTTTGCGTGCAAAAGAAAAAAGAAAAAACTGAAACATAACTCGATACAAAGTTTCTCTACATTTTTAAATGGTCGGAACAACGAGGATGGATAGCCAGTCGCTGTGTAAGGATCACAGAGTTTTCCGACCACACATAAAAATTTTTAAAATTGTTTTGTCTTCAAATTTAGTGTCGTTTTTAGTACGTGGTGTGATTAGAGAATTATTCAAACGCGTAGAAAGTTAGTAACTTCGGCATAATTGATAACATTTGTCTTCAAAAAAATGCATGACAAATGAAAAAAAGAAAAAGACAAAAATATGCCAATTATTAGATTTTTATTATAAAACCGTGATTATTAAGGAAGTGCTAATTTAAACTTGGAAAGCCCTTTTTTTAAATAGAAAATCAAGTTTTCTTAGCTTGAAACTGAATTTTCATATAACGATTATAACTCGATCGCTTTAGCTCGAAGTTGATTTAAAACTCAAAAATGTTAACCATTTTTTCTCAACACTGGAACAACTTTTTGAAATTTATTTCGAATCATATGTGATAGGGCATCAACATAATATATCACTCGACTGGTTCGATTAAATATTTGTGGCAAACAAATTTGTTGGAAAAACCAAAAAAAGCCTGCTTGCTCACTTTTTTAGCTAGAAATTAGCTCAAAAATTAAAAAAAATTCCAACTGATTTTCTCGACATTGAAAAAAGTTTTTTTTTTGAAATTTTTAATATCGTACGAATCTTGATTGAAAAAGCTTTGAAATATCAGTTGACCCATTCGAATTATCGTGGTTCCTAATTTTGTGTTGTAAGAAACACTTGAATACAAAGTTCCTCCCCATTTTCAATGGTTGAATTAATTATTCTGATTTTTACCCATTTGAAAACGACTTTATTAGTTTTTTAGACACTGTTGGCTGGTTAATGAAGATAATATTTATTTTTTAACAATGAAAACACTGCGTTCTTAACTCTTGTCAAGATATATAACGGCGTTAACTACTTTTTGCCAAATAATTTGGGATCTGATCTGATTAATCAATGTGGCCCATAAAAGATTGACCGATTTTGCCGTGCTCTGAATTGTATCCCACCCTGTGTATAGAAGCCGGAGTTGTGCCAGCTGTTGTTGGAGTACGGGGCTGAGGTGAATGTGGCGGGAGGGGATGAGAATTTGATGCCCCTGCACATCGCCATCAGCAACAACTGTGTGGAGACCGCCAAACTCCTCATCCGATTCGGAGCTGACCTCAACGCCACAGGAAAGGTCAGTTGAAAGTTGAAATCCTTTTTTCAATAATGGTGTGTTTTCACTAATTAGACGCTAAAGGGCTAACGTAGGTATTGTATTTTGAAGTTCTGTGTCTTCATCCAAAAGAGAAATGAATAATATAGTATAAATCGTTTCGATTCGTTAAGTAGGATCAGATTGGAAGCCGCATATATCGTTAAGTAGGATCAGATTGGAAGCATATCGCCTAAACTAGTCCGCCGCATATATAAGTGTTTAAAAAATGGTTTCTCTCAATTCACTAAGTTCACAATCCGATTTTGTCGATTCTGAAAACGAATCGCGACTGAACTATTTTAATATGGTTTTCCATTTAATTTCGTACGGCTGGTTTTAAAAGTATCATTTTTTGCGGGGGTAAAAACCACCCCGGGTCATATTTGCCTCCGAGCACTTTTGCGCGTGGTCAAAACAAATGTAAAGACGATATAGGCTATCTGTATTTTTTTATAAATGAGATTGATTATTTAGATATCTTCAATGGTTTGTTTTTATCATATTATGAAAACATTATTGATACTGCATCATCATCAGAAAATATTAATTCTCCCGAAACGATTTTTAGCTACAATCGAACATTTTTTATTTGATAATTTTTCAAAATTATTGTTGGTCAAATGTTTCAGGATGCAAGTGGAAATGAGTTCACGTCTTTGTCTCTCGCTGAAAAAATGGCCAAAGAATACGGCTGCACTGATCTCCTACAAGCAGTGAAAGAGACCAAGAGGGAAATATTCGAGCCGGTCAAGCCTCCAGTCGCACTGGTATCTGGACCGCCTCCAGTTCTGGGCAAACCCATTATATTCTCGGTGTCTGGCTTAAGCGACGAGGAAAAGAATTTGGTGGCGAGTTTTGCTGAGAAATTCCCGATGCGAGTCATGCTAAGTCAGAACTACAACAATGACTGCAATGTGATTGTGTGTGGAAAGGCGAAGACTAAAGCAACCAGCTACCCGCCGTCTATTAAAGTGTTAGCAGCTATTTTGACCAATGGCAACGTGGTTGACATCAACTGGATGCGAGAAAGCATGAGTAACAGGACTTACTTGGATTATGAGAATTACCTGATTGAATCGGTTTGCGGGATCAAGGTCAGTTTCTATTTCTAAAAAATGCTTCAAGTTCTTAAAATGTTTTGTCCCAACTGGACTCCTTTGTCGGTACAAGTATGGTATGATATTTGGCTTCCTAGAACAAGCAAGTGTGAAAAGTTTTCATGAAAGTGATTTTAATGAAAAGTTGAAAGACGCGAAAAAAAAATAATGAAAAAATGGTTTGTACTTAGAAACAGCTGCTTGTAAGGATTTAGGCGGAAATAGCTTAAACTTAGAAACAGCTGCTTGTAAGGATTTAGGCGGAAACAGCTTATACTTTGTACTAGTATAAGCTGTTTCCGACGGTTTTACGTCGCATAAATGTTTCTTCGGGAACCATTTATGTTTTAGGCAATTTATTTTGTAAACGCAGCGGGTGGTGCTTCAAAAGAACACATTTTGTGATAAGACATGAAAAGATTAAGTCGTTAATTTAGTTTCATTATTTCTCCTTTGTGCAGACTCACATTTTCCCCTATTTTTCCTGGAAATATTTTTTGTGACAGTATATGAGTTAAGCTTTGTTCCAGGGTGGAGTTCTGCGAGCGAGGGAAACCAATAAGACAAACCCCAAGAAAATCTTCAACGGCCTCAAGTTCGTCGTGCAAGAAAAACTGGCCACTTTCAAATACAACGAAATCTGTCTTCTGATCGAGATCGGCGACGGACAGCTTCTGGGCAATGCGCCGGAGTATTCAGCGGGGAAAAAGTTGCTGAACGACCCGAAGGTCAAAATCGAATTCATGAAGGAAGACTCGATGATAGGCGATATGAGGCTAATCTTCGTGACTGAAAACATTTTTGGTCACATTGAGAAAATTCAGGACGGCACTTACAAGGTCTCGCCTGATTGGATTGTGAATTGTGTCGCCAGTTTCTCGCTGCTGTCAAATGTGTTTCCAAAGTGCTCATCAACTGAAACTGCGACAAAACCTGAATGGTGAAATGAATACATTATGCAACATTTCGACGTCTAAATTAACGTGAGAAAATTGGGATACTTATTCAGAAAAAGACGTCAAAATGCAGCATCTGAAACATGTTTACGATAACCAGATCTCCGAGGATTCTAATTGCTGTTCTTTTTCTACTTTTCAACCTATTTATTAACTCTGAAACTCTATTTATTAACCCTTTTTCTCAATTGCTGATTTGGGCTCTGAACTTACCTTTTCAGAGTCTGCTTTCTCCATGCTGATTTTAACGCCATTTAATCAATTTTGAAAAACTTTGACATTTGAAAGCTCTTTTTATCCAAATGTTGCTATTTGTGGTTTGAACGGTCTTTGATGTTCTTTAGTTAAGCTTTATACAAGCAGTTTTGTTTTGATCAACAAGTTTGGCTATTTTAACCAAAATTTTGAATTCGCTTTTCAGTATTGAAGTGCTTAAAGAAATGTTTCTCTTTAAGTCGCCCAAAAGAAATGATTTGAGTGCAATTAACTATGCATATGAAATGCTTTCAATTTCGAATACGATTTGAATTGAAATCAATTTTACTTGGTTTGATTCTGAGTTAAGAAAAACTACGCAAAGAAACATCAGTAGCTTGAGTGTGGCCAGGATTTGTACTTTTCGCAAACTGGAAATTTTTTCCAAAAAAAATTGTTTTAGGAGCTTTGTGTCTGCTTATTAAGAGACCATGAACGTAGTAAAGACTCTTGTAGGTCGTGATTTTTTTCGAGGAATAAAAAAGTTACTATTGATTCAGTTTCCTTAAAGTGTTCAGCATTTTATAAAAAAAATCACAAATTTTTCTTGAAAATCCGAGTTTCAAGGGCATATAATTTTTTCTTCGATAGTATATAGTATTTTTTTTAATTCCTTGCGTTAACTGACTATTTTCCAACTTTGTTGGCTAAGTTTGTTATGTCAGATTAATTGCTTCAGCACAGCTCTACTCTAATGTCAGGCACTTGTAACTTTGCTGGAACTCGTTTTATATGTATTTTCATATTGATGCATGTGATTCATTTTTGGGGTTTGGGTAGTTTTTAGTTTCGGGGTTTTTTTTGGCTTTCTGTTCTTGGGCAATTAATGCCATTCAAAATCAAATGTGTCATTTTAAAATCATTCAAAATCAAATTGTTATTTATCAAGTGTGTTATTTTGTGTTATTTTACAGTTTTGCTTTGCTCCCATCTAACTCCCCGTAGTTAGATTTCAAAAAGTGCTAATTTTCAGTATCGGTGAAGTGCTTCCATTCGTCTAAAAAATTGAGTTCATTGACTCTTTTCCAACTGTCTGTTAGCTATGTTTTAATTAATCGAGCACTTGAAATTTTTGGTGGTTTTATAATTATAATTTAGTTAGTGTTATAATTTTTCAAGTTATCGGCTTTGGAAATACGCAAAAAGTCAAGCCCTTTCCAATCCAAGCCAAAATCTGTTTTTTTTTCATAATATATACAGTAGCCTCTTTTAAGTCTGATTACACAAGCAAAGCATGTGTGATAGTATGAATACTCTTTTTTTCCGACCTAAGTCCTAAATATTGGTGTTTAATTTGAAAATGTTCATTTTGATCAGTAACCAGCTATTAACTACAGCCAATGCTAAGGATATTAACACAGACTTTTATATTACAAATAGCACTTTAGCTTCAAGGTATCATGAATCTGCTGAGTAGAGATAGGGAAGGAGCCCACAACAAAATAGTAGGGTTCCAACCTGGACAGGAAGGATGTTTTTAATGAACTTTTTCGTAAACTAGTTTAAATGCGTCCGCTCTTTAAATTAAGGCATGTTAGTTGGTAATTTTTTTTTCAAATGAACTGATACTGCTTTTGCGTCATAAATGGCTACGTCACTTACCAATTATGTAGGCTCATAATTGGCGTGCATCCTTTAAGAAATTTAGTAGACTCAAAGTTTTAGTCATTCAGTTTTTCCCCGTAGCGATATCGGTCATATTTTTGCTTGTGTATGCGAAGTGCACCTTTGCCTCTGTGTTAAACATTTTGAAACGTTTTGTGGCAAGATAAGAGTAGCTATAGTTCACCCTTCTCCAGATGCACTTCTTTTTTTTTAAGAGTCATGAACGTAGTTCGGACTTAATATAGGTCATGATGATTTTTTCGGTTTTGTTCCAGGAAAAATCTTAAAATTGTTTTATAACAAAAAAAAGTGCATTCATACTCATAAATGCACTTATGAATGCCATTGGGTTTATATGCCTTTTTTCAAGTTCATTCCAAGTTCATTTGCTAGAAGGTAGTCAAAATGCACTTTCAAAATTTGAAAGCTGAAATTGTGTAAAAAAGTGATCGATTTCTGGTTTCGAATGTAGACTTTAATTTTTCCTAATAATCTAGTTTTCTTAAAATCTAGTTTTCAAGGAAAGTTTTTTTCTTAATAATCTAGTTTTTTATCAAAATTCAAAAAGCCAGATATTTGTTTGTTTGAAATTCGAAAAAAAATTGAAAAAAAAAATTGCGCTCATTGACTCTTTTCCAACTGTCTGTTAGCTATGTTTTAATTAATCGAGCACAATTTTGAGAAGTTTGTTGTAGTTTTTTGGTATAAGTTTTAAGTTATCGGCTTTGGAAATACGCAAAGAGTCCAGCCTTTCAAAACCAAGTCAAAGTCTGATTTTTCATAATATTGAGTCAAGGCTGTAATCCGACTAGAAAAAGTGTGTCAATGACGCGATATTTTGGGACTTCAAAATTTGAATTACAGTGGCGTCTTTTACGTCTGATTACACAAGCAAAGCTTTAGTGATAGTATGAACTCTTTTTTTCCAACGTAAATTGCAAATTTTAGTGTTCATTTTGATCAATAACCAGGTATTAAGTACAGCCAAAATTGAAGAATGTTAAATTGTTATTGTCTTGACTTAATAAAACACTCATTGTTCGATTCAGATCTGAACATAATGTCTGACGTGACAGCGAAGGCCATCTCAAAGGCACGCAAGCAGCCCTTCAAGGCCAGACTCTACACCAGGGCAGTGTTCACTGGCTACAAGAGGGGGCTGAGGAACCAACATGAACACACCGCACTCCTCAAAATAGAAGGTAATTCATTTATCGGCTCTTTTGAGTGTCTGTAATATGTTCATCGACTCTTTTCCTCGTGAACAAACCAATTACTCTGTGAAAAAATTTGCTCATGTGCGTGAGGGGGAGGGGAGGGGTGTGGTGTGATTGGGAGTAGAAAAGACAACTTTCATCAACAAACATTTCTTCATTTCCTTTTTCATTTCTGAGCTCTAAAAGGTTTCCGTTGTTTAAAGCGAGCTGTTCATATTTTTGGAGAATACTGTATGCGATTTTTTTGCAGTGCTGACTGTTCTATTTGCAGTATTTCACTGAATCTAAATGACATGTGATGTTGTCTTTATTTCAGGCGTTGATCAGACGAAGGACACCAAATTCTACGTTGGAAAACGATGCGTGTATGTCTACAGAGCCAAGACGAAGAAACACGGAAAACCCCTCCGAGTAGTGTGGGGCAAAGTTACACGACCTCATGGCAACACGGGTGCCGTTCGGGCCAAGTTCGTGAAGAATCTGCCCCCGAACGCGATGGGAAAGCGAATCCGAATCATGTTGTACCCCTCGAGGGTTTGATTCAATTTCTCTGACTGAGTGAATGATGATTGAGTTGTACTTTTATTGTTCCAAGTCAAGAAATGGATTAGTTCAATATCTTGTTTTTACACTGAGTAAACGAAGCCGGAGCGCAAGCTAAAGAATGAGATTGATTTGAGACCTTTTTTCGCGCTTTCCTGAATATGTTACATAAAGCGAATGCTGGAAACAAACTGTAGTATTGATTGCTTTTTGTCAGAATCAAAAGAAAAAAATTTTGTGTAACGGAGCTGTTAAAATCAAGTCAACTTTTCTGATTCTGTTGATAATTTTCAAACAGTTTTTCCCTGATTTTTGAGCCAATCTCCTCTGCAAACAAAAATTTGGCCTTAATATGAAAATGTATTACTTATAGTTGTCATGTATTTGTAACGTGGCAAAAAGATCTTAGTATTACACAGGTATTTGCGGTTTTTTGAGTTCGATTTGAGCAACTTGGGCTTGCTAATTTTTGGAGTCAACAGCTTTTTACACAAGCAAAGCTTGTGTTGTACTCTGAACTTTCTTTTTTTTTGGAACCTAAGTCGCAAATATTGTTGCGACAAAATGTGTTCACTTTGAAAGTGTTCGTTTTGATCAATAACCAGCTATTAAGTACAGCCACTGCTAACGATACTAACCCAAACTATTATATTACAAAAAGCACTTTAGCTTCAATGTATCATGGATCTGTAGCATAGAGAAAGTGAAGGAGACCCGCAACAAAAAAAAGAGGGTTCAAACCTGGACAGGGTCGGATGTTTTTAATGAACTTTTCCGTATGCTTGTTTAAATGCGTCCGCTCTATAAATTGATGCATGTTAGTTGGTAAGTTTCGTTTTTATTATTGACTGGTACTGTTAATGCGTCAGAATTGGCTTGCGTCACTTAGCAATTATTTAGACTCATAATTGGCGTGCGTCACTTAGGAGATTTTCTAGACTCAAAGTTTTACACGGTAAGTTTTTTCCCAGTAGCGTTATCGGTCATATTTTTGCATGTGTGTGCGAAGTGCAAATTTGCATCTGTGTTGATGTTCGAGTCCAGTCAGGAACTCTCATTTTTGCTAAGTGGATTTCAAAGTTTCGATTTTGTCTATAACAAAATAAAGTTTGACAAATCTGTCAGTTTTTTCGCTGCATGTCTGATTTATTTGGTGCCATAGTTTTAGTTAACTGAGCACCTGTACTCTCGTTTGAATTGATCAACTTCATTGTGAATTGAATATGATCACAGCTAATTTTTCTAATTGTCTATCTACAGTCTCCGAAAAAGTTTGTGGGGAAATATTTGACCCATATTTTTGATTTTTTTCGTTTTCTCAAAAAAAAACCCTCTCAATCCAAATTTTTGGTTTTAATGAATAGAAAGTTTTCGAACAGCCTCCTGTATGAGCGGCTGCGCCCAAATTTTTTTAACACATTTTGGAAACTTTTCTGCTTAAGCGGCCACAACCTCCTATTTGCAGGGAAAATGCATGGATTTTGGAAATCCTTTTGCCGTTTTGTAGAAACTTTTAGAATTTTCTTAAAATTTACACTATCAAAGCTGAGATGAAAAGTTCACCTGAAAAAAGCCGGCTGCGATAATGGTTCCTGCAGAAGCGGCGGCTTTTTAGTCAGTAAGATTTTAGTTTCTAGTTTTTTTTTCAACATTTTAAATTTTTTTACTAGTGTTTTTCTTATGTTTGTGTCGTATTATTTCATTCTCTTAGTGGCAAGAAAGCAACTTAAAGAGTTTTTTTGGTATCCAGAGCATTTTTGATTAATTTAGTTTATTGATTTCCAAAATAATTGTGAAAATTCTGAGGATATTTTTATGCTTTTTGGCCAACGTTTTTCACCGTAAAGGAAACAGATAAATGTATACATCTATTATGCTTAGACTGAAAATTGATTTCTCCGATAGAAAGCAGATAATTTTGTCATAATTTTGTATCGGTGTCGCAAAAATGTCATTCTTGAAAGTTTTAGAGCCACTGTCAATTCCTTTCGTGGGAACCAAGTGCTACGTATTAGGCAATTTTTTTTCGAGTGGAAATTGTTGCATCACCCTCATGCAACAAGCATAGATCACTGTGCGTCTTGAGTTACCGACCATTTAAATTTAAATATGGGCTTCCCTAATTTTCAAGAAGTCTACGTTGGTGTAATTTCAAGATGCCTGCGTTGAAAGTTGAAGCGGTATTAAAACATTATAGTTTTTTTTTTAAAAAAAATTTCATTATCGAGCAGCGAAACTGCAAAGATCACGAAAAACGTGAGCGATGTCTAATTTCGAAAATATAATCTTCAGATTTCCCAGTGGATTAAAAAATTTACCTATTGATCCAATTTCTCAAATTTGGTTAGTTTTTTTCCAAAATGTCTCATAAATTGTTCTTGAAGTTCAAAGAGCTTCAAGGCCCTATATTTTTTCTTGGAAATTTGAAAGTTGAGATTAAAAAAAAACAATTAAAAAAACAAAAAGAGATAAAAAAACATACTTATTGGCTGTTAAGTTTTTTAATGACTTTTTCGTCTGTCTTTGTGAATCATAAATTCAACGCTGTTCAAGTTTTGACTCTCATCGTGGAAATATTTTCCCAATTTATCATCAGAAACTTCCCAATTTATCACCAAAAAAATGAGTTCAAAAAATTGATCATTAAATTGGATAAGCTCAATTGAGCAAAAATGATAACCGCAAAAATGTTTTCAATTCATTGTATGGTTTTCATAGGAGAAACATTATAAGTGATTGTTTTGAGTAATATAAACGAAGTTTAATGAGCTGTAATTTGAAGCGTTATTGATCCAAGTGAGTTTTCTGAAATCCCCAATCTTTTTTTTCAAATTTTTTCAGAGTTGAAATGCAAGTAGTGATTCGTTTTTTTTTAACACAAAAAGAAACATGAGTTAATTAAGTGAATATAGATCATTTAGGCTTTATTCGAATTGTGCCGAATTAAAAAAAGTAAAAAACTGTTATCGTTGGTTTTTCAGGCCCACAAAATTGAACTTTAAACAAGGGTAGCCGATTGCTGTTGACAAAGTTCCGACCACTTTTGTTGGAAATTGCGATGTTTTTTGTGTATTTTGCTTTGAGCGAATCGGAATCAAAGAGAAGAAATTTTTCAATATTTGACAAATTTTTATCCAAAAAAATCCAATTTACTTGTAGTTTTTCCTCAAATTTTAAGAAGAATTTTTTACGGTTTTAAGGTTCCTAGAGTAAGGCTAACTTTTTGTCTTTTTCCCTTTTATAGGCCTGCATGCTCTTTCATGGAAAAAGTTTCCATATAAATTTCTGAGTGTTGTGAAAAGAATTTGTTTTTGATGCTTCAAGCCTATTGTAGAACGAATCGTAGATGAAGTCATTCACCAATCACCACGTTGATGATTAACAACGTCAATTTTCGACAGCGTAGCTCGTATTAAGATGAAAGGCAACTAATTTCAGTTACAATGCGCATCTTTTCAATTCACACTTCGTTTCTTTGCCCGAGATTTGAAACAGCGCGAGCTAAATTGGTTTGATTGAAATTAGTTAGTTTCTGCCTACGGACCTGAAAGTTTATCAGTTTTTGCTTGCCTTCTGGTATTTACGCATAAAAACACTTATTCTGGTACAGTCGTGGATATACAGGATTTGATAGTTATTGATTGGCATTTGGTGGGTTAATGACTCGGAGTGGCGTATAATATTTGTATTGCCACATTTTGAGCTTTTAGTTAAAGTTTTTCCAATTTCTGAGAGACCTTTAAGATTTTCAGAGAGTCTCAGCGTTTTTAGCGGCGTATTTAGACGTTCAAGATCTTTGTTATTGCCGAAGGTACTCAAGCTTCAGAGTGGGAGATAGTAATGACATAAGTTGGGTTTTTGAGCTATTTAATTACTCCAAAGAACGCTCTTAGGGGGTAGGCTGTGGTATCATATTGCAGCCCCTACAGTTTTAAGTCGTCATTAGAACTACAAAAACAAACAGAAAAAAATTCCCAAGTTTTTGCTATTCTGATCCAATATTAGTGTTGACGGACAGAATATGTTTCCAGCTTCAAGTACACAAATTTTGCGAATATGCCGCTGAGGGGGTAATTCAATCTGCTAGTAAATCGGCTGCAGGAAATTTTTCAGATTAAAATCCAGGCTGCAATTTCCAATCTAATTATTCTGCAATAAGTTTTCATTTTTTGCGAACGGTTACAACAGCTTAGTTGCTTCATATTGCGTCGTTCGCGAAAATGAGAGAAAAAAGTTTTATCCGTATCCGTGTTCTCAAAACTTTTTTTCGGCTTACGAATTGTTGGCTGTTTTACCGCTTCCATTGTTATTTCTCCGATGATAATTTATTATTTACTCGTTTGATTTCTCATTTGAGGGAATTCCCCCTATTTACTCGTTTGAGGGGGTAATTCAATCTGCTAGTAAATCGGCTGCAGGAAATTTTTCAGATTAAAATCCAGGCTGCAATTTCCAATCTAATTATTCTGCAATAAGTTATCATTTTTTGCGAACGGTTACAACAGCTTAGTTGCTTCATATTGCGTCGTTCGCGAAAATGAGAGGAAAAAGTTTTATCCGTATCCGTGTTCTCAAAACTTTTTTTCGGCTTACGAATTGTTGGCTGTTTTACCGCTTCCATTGTTATTTCTCCGATGATAATTTATTATTTACTCGTTTGATTTCTCATTTGAGGGAATTCCCCCTATTTACTCGTTTGAGGGGGTAATTCAATCTGCTAGTAAATCGGCTGCAGGAAATTTTTCAGATTAAAATCCAGGCTGCAATTTCCAATCTAATTATTCTGCAATAAGTTTTCATTTTTGCGAACGGTTACAACAGCTTAGTTGCTTCATATTGCGTCGTTCGCGAAAATGAGAGAAAAAAGTTTTATCCGTATCCGTGTTCTCAAAACTTTTTTTCGGCTTACGAATTGTTGGCTGTTTTACCGCTTCCATTGTTATTTCTCCGATGATAATTTATTATTTACTCGTTTGATTTCGTCTGATTTTGTCGTTTGGTTTCGTCATTTAGTCGTTTCAGGATTTTTTCATGGCAAATTGAGGTAATTTTATAAAAGTTATGGTAGACTAG